TACTCTCTAGTCCTTCCAGTTTTTGGTGTCGGACCAACATTTCGTATTTCCTTTTATTTTGCGTAAGAAAGGGTCTCGGGTATTAGCCCATTCCTTGTCCCATGCCGAAGCGATAATCGTTTTGATCCAGATTTTTAAATCCGCTGCAGGGACTTCCGGTTCCACTGGTGTTTTCGATCTGCCGATCGCTGCCAGCTTGTCCGCAGCCTCGTTTCCACTGATATTGCAGTGGCTGGGAACCCAGACATATACGGTGTTACTGTTCGAAGCCATTCTGATTGCTTGCACCAACGGGTGTCGGTTCTTCGGACTCTCAAGGGCCTTCAGCACACTGGCCGAATCGGTAATGATGGCCTTCCAGGAAAAACTGGACTCTGTAACGGCTGAGAAGATGGCAGCTGCCTCAGCCGAGAAGATCGATGTAGGCTTAGGAAGGCCTCTGCTAGTATCTAGGTTGGGGCCGAATACGCCATAGCCGACTTCTTGAATAAACATCATTTTTATCCTAGAGAGTGAAGCCAGCTCAATGACGGCTAGTTTGTTTTCTTTGTCTTCTTCCCTACCCAATCGTGTTGTTGGTTTGCTAAGCCAAGCCTGGGCCCGCACGAAAAAAGTTGTTTTCAAAAGGATGATAGCCCCATTTCTAATGTTCGGCCTAGTTTGCAGTGACAGTTCATGACTGGATCTCGATGACGTTTGCATGATCGATAGTAAAGCTGTCTCCTCTGTCTCAGATTTTTATTATTTCAGGCATGGGAGGCATGTAACGAAAAGTTTATAAAAGGAGAAATAAACCAATACATACTGGGAAATATTTCATTCGACGGAGAAAGCATCCAGCAATTTTGACGAAGGACTACGTCTATGATCTCTATATAGGGGTACAGTTTGTGAAAACCCAAAATGGAACATGTAACAAAATTATGAAAGATTTTGAACAGTTATAACTCTGTCCATATCGGATAGATTTTAATTCTATACAAGCCAATCGATTGGAAAGTTATCTACAAATCTGTTAAAATCAACACTTTATCAATTGTCAATAGGTCACTATTGAAAATTGCACGAATGTGCAACTGTTGCTATCATAATTTAAATTATCACCGAATGCCTGCGAAAAGCGCTTTTCCTAATACAAATTAAAAAATTGATTTCACTCCGGTCTTGCCAAACGGTATTTATTCAATCACTGCGTGTGGTGAGTGGTGCCTCGCTTGGCGTTCTCCAGTACATAATGAAAGAGTGCCGGCACGCAGCTAGCTGCATGCTCTCGATTCAGCCTTCGATTCTACGAAGAAAGAGGACGAAGCCGCACCGCTACTGATCGGATTCAGTTGCGCGTCGTGCGCCACAGTGGGCCATCTATTCCAAGTGTATCGCCCTCGTTCCAAACAACATACAGCTCGCCAGCTTTATCTGTATTTAACACCCTAATAGTAGCTCAGCATTACTCAACCATTACGACAAAACGTTCCTTTTCAGGACCATCATAAATTTGTTAAATAGTTTTTTCTGGACATTTCTCAAGGATAAATGCGATATCAGTTCCCATAAGTTTAAATCTAACATACCATATATTTTTAAGACAACCCACAATTACACAATCCAAAGTTGGTCGCGGCATGAAAGTGGTTTGATTTTGATCCAGAGATGATGGATTTTAATTCGTAAACGCCAATCGATTGGAAATTTTTCTACAAATGAGAATAAGACTATCAATTTACAAAAGGTCACTATTGAAAATTGTACGAATGTGCAACTGTTGCGATGACGATCAAAATTATCAACGATTGCCTGCAAAAAGCGCATTCCTTAACACAGATTTAACATAACATCTCTGATCACGCCTTCCTTCGGAAGGGAAGTAAAGCCGTTGGTCCCCGGTTCATGAGTTGATGGGTCGATAGGTAGGGTCTAGGTGTGGGGGCTGCCTCCCTGGCGTCGGTAGCATTGGTGCTCAGCACGGAAAACAAATCAAGGAAAAAAAACCATTTTTCTAGAAGTAGCTTAAAATATGAAGCCAAAATCTACTTCAATCTCCAAGTGTCTTCATATGGTTTCAAAAGTCATCACAAAACATGCCACATCCCTGACTCCTGGCGATAGAGTCACATAGTGCCAGAGAAGTGTTCAAAAACAGTCTTGAAGCAACACGCGCTTCCGGTAGATCAAATCTCATTCTTATTAAATCATTATTAAATCATTTGTGATTATATTGAACTGCATACACATCCATGATTTTTTTGGACTACATTCGGGCAAATGGCCGGGATCGCAGTAAGCCGCGCTTAAAAGCTGACATGTTTTTCTTTTGCTGCGTATTTTTCGTAAGCGAATTAAACACATTTTGGCTTTAAATTTGTTAATTTGTGTGCTATAATTTAGTTGCAAGTGTTCATAAAGTTATCATTTAGTGATATATCGTGTTTTGCCTGTGTTTGCCGTGAGTGGCTAGGTTGAACTTGAATCTAACCTCCAAAATATACAACGCAGATTCAGTTCCATTGTTCGGTGTCGATTTTCATTGCCTCCTGGGAGCCCAGTTCTCCGAGTACGGATGCTACACTTTCGGCGTGTAGTTCTACTGAGAGATCGGTCCGGTTGGTGAATTAGCCCGGGAACGTGTTGATAATGTGTCAGTCGCGAGTTTTGGTGGTGATTCGATGGCCGACGTTGCCGTGAATCAGCAAGTTTTCCGCTTGCAAAAGTGCTCGGCTGCTGGTCTCTCGCCAGTCTCGGAGATTGCGAGCAATATGAAAGATGCCTCACTGGATACGCCCAAGACTGGACGGGTGGCAGTTGGTGGCCGCGAACTGTTCCTGGGGAAAGCACTACACGCAAACTTCCTCCCAGATGACCATGACAATGCAAGAAAATTTGTGTTCGTTAAAGGAAGTATCACGACAAAGGTGCATCACGAAATGAGATGCAAATCTTAGAGGAAATCAAAATTACAGAACCCATGGATTGGAGGATTACATTAACATGGTGAGATCAGTCCAAATACATTTTACCGTTTAAAAAACATAAACTAAATACGTGCCAAGTTTGAAAAGAATGTTTTAGAATCTGGAAGCGTGTATGTAAGACCAATATCCATTTGATAACGGTGAGGCATACATGCGGGGCTTATTGTAAGTGAAAGTAACCTCGGAATGGGCGTGACCTTCCAGACATTCTGAAATGGGTTGCTGGATCTGCAATAGAACTATTACTTTCTAACTCCCGGACTAAAGCTGTCTACAATGACAATAAATGCGACATTGTAGAGAGAGTTCTTCCATAATAACACTGCCGGCCAGTGGGGGTTAGAGGGAATACACACACACACACACACACACATTCGGGCAAATGGCCGAAACTTCTCATGGAGCAGAAGTTGTCAAGCGACAAATTAAATTTCAAGAATTGACAGTCCGATTGTGTGTTTTCGCTTAGAACTTCCGCAAATGGAATCTTGAACCATTTTTTCGAATTCATATGAATAAATAGGAACAGATATTACAGTAGATGGAATAATTCTAGATCATTCTTAAAATTAGGCACGAACAAAAAAGCATATTATATTAGTCGATAATTCTATAACTCGATGGACCCTTCAATATCGAGATATGGAGACTTGACTATATTTTTAAATGATGCTAAGGGAATCCTTGAGAAATGTTGTCCAGAGATAAGTTTAAAAAAATTGTTAACTTTTAGATCCAAAAGTTTACTGGATCTTAAATTACTAAAAAAAATGTGAATATTCTGAGACTTCAGTTGAGAACAAACTTCAAGATCCTGGTCTTAAGCCTCCCTTAGCTCAGTCGGCAAAGGCGCAGCTACAAAGCAAGACCATGCTGTAGGTGGCTGGGTTCGATTCTCGATCTGGTCTAGGATTTTTTCGGGTTGGAAAATTTCTCGACTACCCTGGGCATAGAGACATGATTGTACTTGCCATCGCTAGATCTCAATTAATAACTGTGGAAGTGCCTCTAGAACACTAAGTTGAGAACACGAAATAAGCTAATATGCGATGAGCAATAAGTTTGAAATGCGAATAATAAGAAGTATAGAAGTGATCTAAGAAATTTTTTCCAGATTATGGAACTGGATTCAACATGCGAACAGAAAAATATTCAAGACAAGGAACTATGAATATTTATGAATAAAAATTACACGTTATTAACGCTAGATTTGGCGTATTTTTACTCGATATATGATGTAAATTTAAGCGCAATATCGCATAAATCTGCCATATTGTATACAAGCTTGTTAGCAATTTCAATGTTTATGCCAACTAAAGCTCAAAATTAAACGAGAGGATATTTTACGCGACTTTAAAAATTCAGAATTTGTTTCTGTGTGGTTTTTCCCGGTTGTTTACGATTCCCGGCCACCCATCTAGTTTCTTTCGAATCCTCCAGTCGCATCAAAAGCGTTAGTATTGTGAATCTCCAATTTCCATTATTATTTTCAATAATTCTTCAATTTCCAGAATTTGAATGGAATAAATTGATAAAATCGAGAAAAACAACTAAGTGCACTTTATAGCACAACAATTGCACCTGCATGTCACCCCCTACCATCGCATTCAAATCAAGCTTCATTCCGCTTGATTGGTTGTAATGAAATATTCAAGACAGCTTAAGGCCTGCATCAAAGCAAAAAACAATGCACCATACCATATGGAATGGTTCTCATAAAAATCACGATAACACACACACTAGCACAGTTGAGCTACCCATTAAAGAAATCCTCCGGTCGACCGGAGGGGAGCCGAGAACAGTTTATGACCCCTCAAAATCACACTTCCAAAAATCCTGCCGGGGCAAGATCCGGAAGTTTATCGTAAATCTACTCATAAATCATATCACTCGATTGCGTCGCTCGTGATGCAATCTAGACAATAATGGTACACGCGTCGTTCCCTCCCCCTGGCCGAAAAGCGAAATACACATCAAATTGATTAGCAGGAAGTTCCCATCGCTAATAAAAACGAAAGAAAGCCAACTCACCTAAACGTCGTCAGCAGTGGCGTCGAAACGGTCGTCAGACTGGGCACGTACACGTTGTCCGGTATGCTCCGTTTGGTCGTGGTCGTCGAACCATACGCGACCCGACTGAAGACGGCCGCTATGCTTTTCTCCAGATTGAAATTGCCAAACCCATCGCCGGCCCGTCCGGTGCTCTCCCCGTTGGCATCCAGCAGCACCGGGGTCACACAGCAGGGGAACAGTAGTAGTAGAACGGTACTAATTAACACTATCGCTAGGGAGGAGTATCGTCGGGTCGGGATGATGAAGCTTCCGGAGTGAGACGGCCGCCGCCAGGATCGACAACTGCTACTACTGGTTCTCACTCGGACCTTTTTCACTGTGTCCGGTCGACGCTGTCTCCGCCGGCCGGATTTGCGGGTACTAGCACTAGGGTTGGGGTGACTACTGGGGGTACGGCGGCTGCTGCTGCTGCTGTTGCTACTGACGGAACTGTTGTCGTTGTTGTCGTCGTCGATCTGGTTGCACGAGCAGTCCAAATTCGGCAACCGTAGACAGCTGTCGTCGATATCACTGATCCTACTACTAAGGCTACTGCTGCTGTCATCTTCTGGTTGTTGTCGATCGATTGGTGAACTCCGGCTGATCCTGCTACTACTCCGGTCGTTGCCGGTCAGCGGTAAGGAGATCTTGTATTTCTTGTGCAATGTTCCTTCGGCGAACATAGTGAAACACGCGCTCACACACAAACACGCGCGTGTCCGGGTATGTGGGAGTGGGAGCGATTACCTTTTTTTTTGCACCCTTGTGCTTGGTTTATTCTTCCGATTTTTTTGCGTTCCCACCTGAAGTGGAAGATTATCGATTTTCACCCCCGAAATGATGGAAATTATCCTAAACTAGAACAAAAACGCCCCGAAACACTGTCTAAGCACATCTTCGTCGAGTTTCGTTGAGGATTTTCGTCATTTTTCACATCTTTTTTTTCTTCTTCTTCTTACGGCACTCGAGATTTCTTATTCGACGGATTCTTCTTTCCTTTCTCTCGCTCTTCCAGGCGAGGCGAGGCCGTTGTTGTTGAACACCGCTGCGTTCACATTTATCACATGTCTGTTTCTTCTAGCAGCGCTCTAAACTGGCATCTGCACCACACCTCTCCTCTGATCTTCGTCGGTCAACCCGAGAGGTTCTTTCCGTTCCTGCTAAATACACAAACACACACACTCTCAAACACAAATCCTGGCCCCGTAGAATAATTCCAGGTTTTAGATCAGGCCGTCTGCTTGTGTCTGCTCGCTACTCTCTTGCTGTTGGTGATGATGAAGCGAAACACTCGTTGCGGTGGAAGGTCGTGGGGAGCAGAAGACTAGAAACACCGGGAACCAGATAGAGGCTCACTCATTCCACTTATTCACCCTGCCGCGCACCCCTCCCGTATCGACACACCACTGTGTGGCACTAGGAATCGAGAGAAAGAAACTGTGTAGACACAAGCACCACACTCTTCCCGAAGAGCACTCCGACCGACCCGTTTCTCCGTATTCTCTCGCCACGGTATCTTCTGACACACGGCACAGCACAGGCGGAATATTTAATTATTTGCTTCTACCACTTCTTCCTATTCTTCTTTTTCACCGATGGCTCGGATCGACTCGAAAACGTCGATTCCACTGTACACACAACAACCCACTAACGGGAACACAGCTCTTCCCCCCGAAAATTTTTCGCCTCTTTCGTCCCGAACGAACACAGCTCTTCTCCGGTTGTTGCTGTTGGTGCTGTATAACTCAATAACGATTATAACTAGGACTAATTCTCACTTTTATTTTATTATCTTCACCCGTTCGGGGTTCGCTCGTAGCGGCGCGACCGGTTCAGAACTCTGATGGCAACCGACTGACGAGGATCAGAACTTCGAATGCAGCTCAAACCTGCCAGCTCTTCTCCGGCGGTGAGCTTCGCCAGTGTGTCGTGTATGTCCTTGCCGTTTCGCTCCGTGCGGTTCAGAGCTGCTCTCTCACACTCGCTGCCGTGAGAGCAAGGACGAACGTATCCTGAGGGGGCTGGCTCGTACGAGTCCTGAAAAAAAAGAAAGAGAAAGAGAGACATTGGGTTAAGAAAAGTGGAAAATTAATAAACACAAGGAAAATGAACGAACAACGCAACGGAAGGATAGGGCGGGCGGTGGGGGCGCCAGAAATAGATGGAGCTCTGTTGTTTCCACCTCAACATGCGAATCAAACCGAATGGAATCGGCACCAACAGCAGCAGCATCAGTGGTGGAAAATCGAAATCGAAATTGAATTAAATCTTTCGGATGCTGTGCATGGAAAGTGGTTCTACTTTTTGTTTGGTGACGGCGTAGGAGCTGGGTTTTTCCGATGGAATCGAGCTGGATGTTTCCAATCGAACAAGCACGGAGCACGTGTGCCAGTGCGATATTCTACGCGCAAATGTTACCATCGTCCCACACCGACATCATCGGGTGACATCTGGTACCAACAACAACAACAACAACAACAGTTTTTTTTCGATGACCTATTTATTTATAGAACCGAGAGCTGGGGCGGTTACGCTTGAATGGTTGGGAAAAGTTGTACACAATGTTTCAAGTTTGAGTGCAGTCAACAGTGCAGTCAAGATCTATGTTGTGCTCTTTTCGATACAATGTGACCATAAAAATTGGTTATGCATCCAAAGTTTCGTCTAATTTCCGAATGAAACATTGTTTGGCTAGTTGAAGGTTTGTTGCGGCTCTTTGTTTTTGCGCAGGGCAACAATGAGACTAAGGCTATGGTTAGTTTAGTTGAATCGTTGCTTTTTTTATGATACGCACCTATTAGATCTGTTTATTATTTGAAATAAGTTTCAGTTTAGATTGAATCAAATTTCAGCACAGATAGTTAAGGAACTCTACACAACAGTTGCTACCGCCTTGACATGGGCCCAGGAGGTCGGATTTCGTCAAACCACCTGACTTTTCCCCTCTGCTGCCCGAATTACGCTTCTAGTCTTTGGTAATTTAAATAACTTGGTTTCGAGAGGTCTCTATTACCTTTGTTACTACCGACGAATTTCACGCTAACTCGACAAAGGAATTGGCAGCACCCTCTCAGATTTCAATGAAACATTGTGGGTGTGTAGATTTCGTCTAATTAAGTAAATTTGCATACTTATTTTTTTAAACGCTAGACCCACATTTAAAAAGGGTGGAACTTTTTTTTTATTAATACTTTCTTAAAAAAACTATAACTCAATAATGTCAAGTCCTACAAAAATGTTGCCAAAAAATGATGGCTACACTGAAGAAAAAAATGTTTAAAATTTAAAATTAAGATTTTTCAAAAATACATTTTTTTAAATCGGAATTTTTTTCTAGATAGGCAAACCATTTATCTACAACTCGTTCATATATCTCAAGATGTGCTTTAAAGAAGAAAAGTTTTTTGACAAAAACTTTTTTCGTGTTCGCACTGAATAAAATCAATGATTTTTTTTAGTGTAGACATGAAAAATATTGAAATGTTGAGACTCATGTGAAACCTACCACTCGACCGGATTTCACTCAACAAGCTCCAAATGAAAGGTACACAAAAAAGATATTGAAGAGGTATTCAATCCTAATGTGAATGATACAGAAAATTTAATTTTAATGTTAATTGGCAGAGTAGGAAAAAATGGTGTTCTTATTTCATAAATTTTTATTTTATCTTAATTATAGAATAACTTATATATATTATTTCTTAACATTGTCCAACAAAGTAAATTTTTTGGATGCTCCGTTGAATTAAAATATTTTTTAGCTGCAATTTGACCATCGGCAATAGGCTGAAAACTGAGAAATTTTTGTGTACCAGATATCGTCTTTGCGTGGTGAAACAAATCTTTTACACTACCGATCATAAGTTTAAGGACATCCCCAAAAAACCATGCAAATATGTTTTGTTCAATGATCTCTCATGTAACGTTCAATTTTCGATCTTCAAAGGTTATTTGAATGGTATGAATGGTATAGCATAAGTGTTCTACTACTACTTTTATTTCAAAATTTGGTCAACCCAATTCTGAGAAAATCTTCGAAAAATATTGTAACTTTGGTAACTTTGAAAATTATATTGAACAATTTGCCTACGAAGAAAGTTCCATTCAATACCTTTCAAATGATTTAAAGAGAACGAAAATTGGACGTAACATGACAGTGATATGAACATAACAAATTTGTCATGTTTTTTTTGGGGGTGTCCTTAAACTTATGATCGGGAGTGTAGTTCTTCTGACATTTTTTCGTATTGCTCAGTAGATATATAACAGAAATTCAATTTTGTGATGCTTTTCTCTGTTTGTTTAACTGCCCAGTCGTAGAGCTCTCGTGGGATTGTAATAGTATTTCCGTATTCTTGGGCAAGGCTGCTCTTTTTGCCATTCGTTTTAAAGTTCCACCAATAGCATCACAGGGACCTTTGCCATGAGATGTTGCAAAGAAATGCCAATCTACTTCCAATTTGTGCATTGATTTGAAGTTTTATAGACGGCAAATTTTTTCTGTTCTTATAATGAGCAGCTGCTCCAACTGACATAAATATAATTTTGGAGAAATCTATTGATAGTTTCAAGAGTTCTATCAGTTTTAAAATGAACAATTGAACTGCTATTGTATCATGAGCCAATGCCTCTGATATTATTATAAAACTAACGTTTTCTATTTTACTGTCCTTCATATAACCACAAAAGGGTGAATATTTGCCTGAGCGTTATTCCAATGGTAACTCTGAGCAGCGTTCTGAATAATAAATGAATAGTTCTCAGAGAAATCGCAAATTACAATTAATTCATCTTCTTTTAGAGAATCTTTTTGGTTCCTTAGAAATAAAGACTGTTCTTTACAAATAAAGTCATGAGTGATTAACTTATCAATTTTATCTACGAAGTACGTGGCAAACTCATCTGCAGGTTTCATAATGTTCTTCAAGTTAAAACGATCCGTAGTTAGCCACTGTTGAAAAATTACATCTTCTTTACCACTTCCTTCGAATAGTGCAGCAAGTTCGTCTGCAACTTCTTCATTGGTTGCACATTTCTTGCAAGCTCGAAAATAACACTCTGTCGTCCTAATAGAAAAATTACAAAGCAGTTTATCCATTATTTCTTCCTCGGATACGATTCCTAAACTATTAAGCATTAATTTTACATTTTCATAGATTTTGCACACACATACATTATGAGTACCTTTACTGTCAAGTAGCTTACAATGTTTAGGTCTCAACGTTGTAAATAAGATGAAGCCAATTTTAATACTCGCATACGTTTCTTCAAATATTGTATATGCCTCTTTGAGAGATATCATAAGAAGTCGCTTCTGAACCCGTTCTTTTAGGCCATTTCGGAGTTCAGACACGTAATCGTTAATTCCAGGCATTGGCCTGCTTATATCATTACTATCAAAGAAATCTATAACAGTCTTTTTGCCTAATTCACTGATTCCGTGTCTACTTCGTGCAGTAGTGGTACAAAGAATACCTTGATCTTTCACTATTTTTTTCATTTGTCTTACCATATATACTAGAGGTGGGCAAAATAGCTCATCTGGCTGAGCGGATCAGACCCGTCCAGCTGATTAAAGGGAGTCGATTCTTTTGAACAGCTCTTCAGCTCACCTTTATATTATAGAAATTTTTACACACATTTCAAACGCGATGATATGCTCGACATCGTGTTACACGATGTTACGCCTTTTCTCTAGCTTTGTAATCCAGTCTACATACAGATTTTATTTCTGATGTTAATTCTTCAGCAGATTTGCTCTCACTATTCTCGGCTTCAGCTCCAGATCATCAGCTCTGATCTGGAGATGGGCTCCCAAGCTGTTCTTTAGACCCGATTCATTCAAGTCAGCTGATGATCCGTGGTTCGTTTTTTGGAACCGCAGCTCATCAGCTCATAATTTAGTGTATTCAGATCTGAGCGTGCATTAGCAGATCGGAGCAGAATTTGTGTTGGAATGAGAGAGACAACTAGTACTTCTCTCCCTCTCGTACATTCGCAAAATCTCGCCCCGCGCGTGAAATATCGCTCAGGACGGAATCCACCTTGATTCTCCAGCACAATTGCTCCCACTATTCTCGGCTTCAGCTCAGATCTAGAGATGGACTCCCGAGGTGTTTTATAGACCCAACTCACTAAAGTCAGCTGATGATCCGCGGATCATTTTTAGGAACCGCAGCTCATCAGCTCACTGATATCATAAGTCTAATGGTGTATTCAGATCAGAGCATGCATTAGCGAAGCGGAGCTCTCTCTATTCTCGGCTTCAGCTCTAGATCATCAGCTCAGATCCGGATCCGGAGCTGAATCGTGAAGAATCGAGAGAGAAAAAGATCCGAAGAGCTGGATGGGCCCGACAGCTGTCATCTCACGGAATCATTCGAGCCGATGATTCGGATCCGGAGATGAGCTGCTAAGCTGGAGAGCTGCATTTAGCTTTTCGGTTATTTGCTTTTGTGCGGATCTTCCGCTCGCCCAGAGAATGATGGGAGGAGAGGTGAGAGCACATATGCTGGAGGAATAACATCAGCAATAGGAACTGGGTACGTAAATACATTTGATAATACCAGTATAAATTTAACATCGTGTAACACATGTACAAATGTCTCTCTCTCTCCCATACAGCCGCTTGGAAGTTGATATATCAGGTAGATGATATCGATCAGTATGCACTTGTTGAATTACGCGCACATCTTGGTTTACGCGGTAACTGTTCAATGCGTAAAGGAGCAATGCGTGCTTTTTTGAAAAAAAAATCCGCTATAAGTCACGGATTGAATGGTTTAGATTTGTGATAACAATGTGCTGATGAGCTGCGGTTTCTAAAAAAATGAACCGCGGATCATCAGCTCACTTTAGTGAATCAGCTCTTTAGAACAGCTCGGGAGCGGATCGCCCATCTCTAATACATACCGGTGCAGTGAACTCTTCTACGAATTTATTTATCGACCCAGAGTGCGATACACTGATAAAACTTTTATCTGCTCATTTCTATCATCAGGAGATGAATAAAACTTATTTTTTTTTAATTGTGTTAC